GGGGATGCTGTGGGACCAGGGATTATGCGATGTCTGAGGCTGCTGTGGGACTGGGGATACATGGTGGGATGGGGATGCTGTGGGACCAGGAATTCTGTGGATGCTGTGGGACTGGGGATGCTGTTGGGACTGGGAATTCTGCAGGGTCTGCAGATGCTGTGGGACCAGGGATGCCACAGTGGGACAGGGATGCTGTGGGACTTGGAATTCTGCAGGTGCTGTGGGACCAGGGCAGCTCTGGGACTGGAAATTCTGCTGGGTCTGCAGATGCTGTGGGACTGGGGATTCTGCGGGGTCTGAGGATGCTGCAGGACCAGGGATACATGGTGGGATGGGGATGCTGTGGGACCAGGAATTCTGTGGATGCTGTGGGACTGGGGATGCTGTTGGGACTGGGAATTCTGCGGGGTCTGCAGATGCTGTGGGACCAGGGATTATGCGATGTCTGAGGCTGCTGTGGGACTGGGGATACATGGTGGGATGGGGATGCTGTGGGACCAGGAATTCTGCAGGTGCTGTGGGACCAGGGAAACTCTGGGACTGGAAATTCTGCGGGGTCCGCAGATGCTGTGGCACCAGGGATGCCACAGTGGGACTGGGAATTCTGTGGATGCTGTGGTGGGACCAGGGGATGCTGTGGGACCAGGAATTCTGCGGGGGCTGAGGATGCTGTGGGGCCAGGGATGCCATGGTGGGGTGGGTGTGGGACCAGGGATGCCACAGTGGGACTGGGAATTCTGTGGATGCTGTGGTGGGACCAGGGGATGCTGTGGGACCAGGAATTCTGCGGGGTCTGAGGATGCTGTGGGACCAGGGATGCCATGGTGGGATGGGAATGCTGTGAGACCGGGAATTCTGCGGATGCTGTGGGACTGGGGATGCTGTGGCACTGGGAATTCTATGGATGCTGTGGGACCAGGGATTCTGCAGGGTCTGAGGATGCTGTGGGACCAGGGATACGTGGTGGGATGGGGATGCTGTGGGACCAGGAATTCTGTGAAGTCAGTGGTTGCTGCGGGACCAGGGATGCCACGGTGGGACAGGGATGCTGTGGGATGAGGGATGCCATGGTAGGACTGGGAATTCTGTGGGGTCTGAGGATGCTGCAGGACCAGGGATACATGGTGGGACGGGGATGCTGTTGGGACTGGGAATTCTGCGGATGCTGTGGGACTGGGGATGCTGTTGGGACTGGGAATTCTGTGGGGTCTGGGGATGCTGTGGGACCAGGGGATGCTGTGGGATGGGGAATTCTGCTGGGTCTGCTGATGCTGCGGGAGCAGGGGATGCTCCCGTGGGACGGAGATGCTGTGGGACCAGGAATGTTTCAGGGTCTGAGGATGCTGTGGTGGGGAATTCTGCAGCTGCTGAGGATGCTGCGGGACCAGGGATGCCACGATGGGACAGGGATGCTGTGGGACTGGGGATTCCGCGGGGTCTGAGGATGCTGCAGTGGGATGGGCATGCTGTGGGACCAGGAATTCTGCGGATGCTGCGGGACCGGGGGATGCTGCGGGACCCTTCAGCATCGCTCCCTCCACCAGCTCCACGTCGGAGCCGGCTCGGGGCTTTCAGACCTTCCTCCTTTCCGCAGCCGCTCCGGTTTGGGCTGTGGGTCTGGGAGGCCAAGGTTTGGGGGAGCTTGACCCCCGGCCAGCAGCACCTCTGCCTTGGCCTGGGCACGCTCCGTTTCGCTCCGCGTTCCCCGAGCAGCGTCCCTTTTCCTCGGGAGGGGGGGGTTATTAGCTCTGTTTGTCTTAGAGAGGTTTCACATCGGGCCTGGCTTGTATGCACAAGCCCGGGAAAAGGTCATGCAGGAAAAAAAAAAATTAGAATTAAAAAAACAAAAAATAGCTGGAGCGTAA